TGTAGACCTATTCCAACGTGGCATTTTGTGCACCTTTGTAAGGTTTCATTTGCAAAAAATAAATTTTAAGGTTTTTGATTTCCTGGAATTCTATGTTAATTCAATGTTTAATTTTAGTGGCAGAGTTAGATTTCTAAAATAATCTCAATCCAGCACATACAACTTGGTAAAATATATTCTGAACTGAACAATGCCAGATTTGCCAAAATATAATAGTTTTAACATGAACTGTATACTGCGCAGTAAGTAAGGTGCAAATCATTGTTAAAGGATCACTATAGGGTCAGGAACACAAACATGTATTCCTGACCATATAGTGTTAACACCACCATCTAGCCCCCCTGAGCCTCTCATGCCTCCATAAATATAGTAAAAATCTTACTGTATTCAAGCCAGAAGCTGTAAATCTGCATGCTGTTAGACTCAGAAAAACAAGCAGTCTGCTGACATCAGAAGTGGTAGTCTGATCCAATCACAGTGCTTCCCCATAGGATTGGCTGAGACTGACAAAGAGGCAGATCAGGGGCAGAGCCAGCATGATTCAAACAGCCCTGGCCAATCAACATCTCCTCATAGAGATGACTTGAATCAATGAATCTCTATGAGGAAAGTTCAGTGTCTGCTTGCAGAGGGAGGAGATACTGAATCACAGGATGCTGTGCACAGTGCTGCCCTGTGCTATGCCGACAGCAGATCTGAGTGGATGGAGGCATATTATGGCTCCATCAATTTCAAAGTCCCTCTGGTTCACTCTGAGTGACTGCAACTGGAGGTGTTCCTAGCTTTCAATGTAAACACTGTATTTTCTCAGAAAATACAGTGTTTACATGAGAAAGGCTGCAGGGAGCTATAGTTCTCACCTGAACAACCTCATTAACCCCTTAAGGACCAAACTTCTTGAATAAAAGGGAATCATGACATGTCACACATGTCATGTGTCCTTAAGGGGTTAAGCTGAAGTTGTTCAGGTGACTATAGTGTCCCTTTAAATTCCAAACACCATAACTACTACAGCTTAATGCAGTAGTAAATTCACACTGCTTTTGACAATTTTTAACCTATTTAAGAAAAAGGCTTACCATGCACCCTAAGCCTACTCTTTCTGTTGGGAGACATCATCATGCAGAAGATCACAGCCTTTATATTATCCATCCAAAATATTTGTATGGCATAATCATTCATTGCTCACAACATGCAATTAAAGGCAAAGATCAATGGGCCATTCTAGAAAGCTGTTTACCTTTTTGGCACTGCTGAACTGACAAAGTGTGCATGGGCGGCAAAATCCTGCGCCAATCAGCATCTCCCTTACAGATGAATCAATGCATCTTTATGGGGAACTTTCAGTGTTTACATGCAGAGTATGGAGACGCTGAACGTAGGTGCTGCACACTGTGCAACACTGGATGAGAATAGGAGAATTGATCCTCTAACCAAAAGAAAATATTTAACAATAAAAACAATCCTTAAAAGTGCAACTTGTGTGTAAATAGAAATATACAGGTAGCACCTAGTATTAGAGCCGCGTAGCCTAGAGTAGACCAACAGGGAGCAAGGAGGAAAGGTGAAATAGAGTTAGATTCAAACCTTGCATATTTGAATAACAGGCTGGGGCAAGCTGAATACACTATGAAATTGTTAAATCTCCATGTTTCTCAGAGTCCAAAGACTGTGACATAACTTTCCTAAATTATTAGGTCTGCTTCAGATAAACCTTCACTCTTGATTTGGCCCAGTGAGCCACTGACTGGTAGCTATTATAGAGTAATGAAACAGATAGGTAACCAGTGGCATACATACCGCGGTCGCAGGGGTTGCAGCTGCGACCGGGCCCGCCACTCCAGGGGGCCTGGCCGACCTGCAGACACCTGTGACCGGGTATCCGCCGCCATCATTTTCTGCGGCCCCGGCCCACACGGCAAACCGCCGGGGCCGCCGTCCAAGGGGTCCATCTGTTAGGGCCACCCGATGGATGTGGATTGTCAGGGGGCCCGGTCAGCGCTGGGCGCTTTAACAGCACGACCAGGCCACCTGTGATTACATCACAAGCTGGGAGGAAGTGACCGCACGTCACTCCTCCCAGCTAACACACAGACTGCACGGGAGGAAGACCAGGGAGTCAGAGTCTGTATATGCACCATTTTGCTTTGAAACTCTGCACATATGGAGTAAGTCAGAGGTGTAACTCCACCTACGGCCTTATCATTGGGGCTAATAATTCTAGGCACAGAATTGCATCTATTTGCTTAGAGTGGTCAGCTGACGCTCTTAGCCAATGAATGGCTTGTGAGATTCACTTCCAGCTTCTGCAGCTGCCAGGACAGAATTCTGGGTTCCACAGAACTGGATGTCGTGACTGGCCAGAGGAAACACTGTCTGACCCATGGTGTATATATATCTATATATATGGCTGAAGGTTCCTGTCATAAACTAGAGATGCGTTTTTCTCATTTTTTTTGTGCTGTTACAGACACATAGTTGAATATCCAAAACCAAGTATATCTTAGATTTTCCTCAAGGAAGACCTGTTTATGTGCTAAAATACCCCGGTGCTGATTATCAATTATATAGATCAGGGGTAGGCAACCTACGGCACTAGTGTCATGCACGGCACTCCAGGTGTCTTTGCACGGCACTCAAGGCTGCTACAGACAAACAGGCTCTGGCCTATCAGGAGTCCCAGTGAAACTTCAGATATCTGCTAATACGAAGAGGTGGTGAAGGACAATCCTCAATTTATGCATTGCAGATCATTTCCTCCCAACACTTGTGAATGGGAATCCACAATGTAGT